ACTTTTATATAGTAAGAAAGCAAAAACCTAAAGATACCTGTTACCTTCAAATCCCCCCAGAAGTTTCACTATGAATTCATTTTTCCATTGCTGGAATCTGAGGTCCCCAGTGACGAGGGCACAGGTTCCTTAACTCCTCAGTGTCTCAGTGGCCTCCCTTATAAATTGAGGGCAATTGAGCACTGCCCACAGTTGCCTAAGAATTACATGACATAAACTGAGTAAGAGTCTGACACACTGCAGCTGATGGACACTGTGATACCAGCGACTGACTTGCTTTAAATATAAGCTCCAACAAGGTAATCTCTAATAGGCACACTTCCCACAGGAGGAAGCCCCTAAGTCCGGGTCATGGCCCTCCTTGGCTTTCCTTTGCAATTCCCCAGGGGCTGTTAGCCGGAGCAGCCCCCTTGGACCTATTCATCCTCCTCATCCTCCAAAGGATTAAGGCTGTCCAGGGTTTCAAGTGTCTGGGGAAGCAGGTGGGAACAGGGCTGGCTTGTGACTCCAACCTCACGCCTAGGATTTAAAAGCAAACAGCAGCCGTGGCCTTGTGTACCCAGATCTACATCCTGCTTGCTGTATCACAAGGGCCACCTCCTCTGTCAGGTGCTTCAGGCTGGGCTGGATTGGGCCTCCACCCACCTGAGCAGGAGGCACCCCAAGGTCCCAGGGAAAAAAGCGAACAGACTCAGCCCAGCCCAACCTAGGCAGATCCCAGGCGCCGTATGCTTGTTCCTCACAGAGGTGCGGCCCTGACACCAGTCACCCTGAGGTCATCCCTCCATGGGGTCACGGGCTACGACCTCCCCGGCCTGGGAAACATCAACACCTCATAGCCAGGAGGTCAACGGGAAGGTTTTCTGGTAGGTTTATGGAAAATGGTTTAAAAATATGTCTGAACTTCATCTCCAACCATAATAACTATTTTTAGTTAAAATAATACCTCATCTCTTAAAACTTAGCAGCTTTTCTCGAGGAGACTGACAGGTGTCATTGCTTCATTTCACAAGTACTCTGCGTGGTGGGCTGGTGCTCCGCTGTGCAGTGGAGGAAGCCAGGTTGCGAAGGGAGGGACAGCACTGGCTGGTGGCCAGGACCCATCCCTACCATGCGGCAGGAAGATCTGCGCCTGCCGAACCTCCACCCGCTCCCTGCCTCAAGGTGACACGGTCCCTTCCCCTCCCCTCATCCTCACACCCCCTCCCCAAAGAGTGGAAATAATCCAGAAGACGCCGCCTTCGTTGTTCTGCGGTCTTGTTCCATTCCAGGAATCTCTTCTTCACCACTGCATTACGTTTTTCAGTCCTTTCGTCAACCGTTGTTTACATCCGGTTGTTTGATCTATGTCTCTGCTTCTCCTGTGCTGCTGCTTCCTTGTCTTGGGTCCCCCAGACTCTTCCCTTCTGCCAGCCTGAGCTATTTCAAGAGTGGGACTGTCTTGGTCTGGTGCTGGCAGGCTGCGCTATGCTCCCCTCCACCGCCCTCTTGGGAAAGGCAGTTTGGCTGGATATAGAATTCGGGGCCGGCTGCCTCCCCTTGACCTCCAGTCTGCTGGCCCGCTGTCTGCTACCATTTCCTTTCCTAGACAGACTCCCAGGCTTTGTGAGTTTAAAATATTTCTCTCTTTGGGATTCCATATGTGTCTTTTTAAACAATTCCCCCAGCATGCAGTGAGCATTTCTGGTCTGTCTGCAGCTCAAAGAAGCCTTTTTTCTTTGGCCCTGGCTCTGTGTCCTCCATCCCTGTTCTGCCCCTGGGCTCATGGGACGTGGAAGGGTGGGCATTATCATCATGGATGCTTCCTGTCTTCCAACTCTGCCTTTTGGGAGCCGAGGTTGCTATTCCTTGAACTGAAGTGCACCCGGCCATTTGCCTACCATATCAGATCTTGGTTCTATCTCTCCTGCCCTTGGCTGCCTCTGCTGAGTTCAAAAATTTATGCTCAAGAATTATTTTTATGTCTCCAGTGATTCTTTGGAGGTTCACCCTCGCACCCTTGCACCCTCCCGCCCCTCACTTTGGGGTATTGGGGCAGCTCTGAGGTTGAGGGAGAGGACAGTGCAGGCTGGGCATGAGTGGGGCCCCTTCCCTACCTGTATGGCTCAGCACCGGAAAGAGGACCACAGTAGCATGGTCCCTTTTGGGTCCCCATTGTCTGTGAAGGGACCTGCAGGTCACATGTCACCCAACAGGGCCTGTGGGGCAGCCTGGAGTCACATGCGCCTCGGCTGCTCTGTGTGCAGGCAGGGCCCTGCCTGACACATTGAAGTCACCTGTTCTTCTCTCCTCCAACACCCGTCCGGAACAGGCACTTTGGGGCCACTGCCCTGAGCTCGGTGGCAGATGAGCAAGGTTTGGGGTGTCAGTTTCTGGGCCCCAGCAAGAGAAGAAACTGATCTCGCTGATGCAGTATCTCCACTTCATAGGGGATGGGCACAGAGACGCAGATTCCTGGGTGCCCCGGGTGACCTTCATTTTCTCCTCTTGCCTCCTCTGCCTTATTTCTTTATGCTCTTATTCTTTTCCTCCAAAAATACCTCACAGATCCATACAAAGGACGGCCCCTTCTCTAAGTGACTCCATCTTCATGGACTTTTGCAGGCACTAGTTTGAATTTGGCCTCCTTCAGATCTGGGAGGGGAAGGGGAAGACGTCCAGAAACAGCATGGTGAATGCAGCCGGTTGAGGACGACACTGTGCGGCCCAGCAAGTGAATCCATGGCCAGGACCCTCCCCGGGCTCTGCTTCTCCAGGCCTCCTGCTTCCGGCTGGCATCATCATCCAGAATAATGATCACCACAGTTTAAGGGCTGAACTCCAGAGCCTTCCAGGGCGAAACTGTCACCTGTGAGATCATGATCACGTGATCTCAGCCTGGTTCTGGTGCCGCAGGACAGGGGGACCGCTCAGCTGTGGAGAGGGAAGCGGCGTCTGCAGAGCAAGCCCCAGGAACGAGGAGGATGAAGGAAGAAAATGATCAGGACGGGCACTGCAGTGGTCACAGATGTGCCAAGTCAAGGTGGCAGGCTGCAAGGCCGACAGCCTTTCCTGGGAAGGTGTCCAGCCCAGCACTGGCACAGTGACTGCCAGGAGGAGACCGTCATGGTGCCCACTTCACCGACTCCGGCAGTGTAAGAGAAGCACTTGCACCTCGGCGGGAAGAACCATTGCTTTGTGCACTAGAGAGGAAGAAGTGTTGCCGTTAACCCACGCGCTTTATCATCTTCTAGGCCCTTTGCTGCATCCGCAGGGAAATGGTTCCTAGCCCTTCAGAGAGTCCCATTGTGTCTTAGTCCTCGTGTGCAGGACGGAGTGACTGTCCGCGTGGGAGCTGGTGCATGGACGAAATGCAGCTCTGTTGCCTTTACATCTCTTTCCTCCTCTCCCTCCCTCTCATAACACGTTGGAGACACGAATTGGAGAATTATCCCCCAGCTTTTCACACTCAGGCTCACTCTTCAGACCCGCTCTAGGACTCAGATCAGTGTCCCCGGCTCTCCCCGCAGCACCGTCCTCTGCGCCATCAGATCCCAGCGACACAGCTTCCGGGATGGTTTCTCTTTGCTGCCATAACAAGTCACAAAGGCGGTGACTTCAGCCAGCGTGAACTGCGTTATCTCGCGCTTCTCTGGGTCAGAGGTCCCGCATGGGCTGCGCCTGGTGACTTCAGGACCACTTCCCTCCGGGTGGCTCCGGAGGAGCATTCATCTCCCTGCCTGGACGAGGGTCTCAGGCCATCTTCCGCTCTCGCCAAAGCCAGAGATGTTAGAGCCAGGTCCCAGGCTTCAGGCTGAGTCCAGAGCCTCCCCCACTCCCACGGCCTCTCCATACATGGAGTGAGCAGCAGTGCCGTGGGCATCATCTGGGGACCTCTGGGATTCCTGCAGCCCACCTGTCCTAGGGAGCTGGCCTGGGGCACCCAGCCAACGGGCTCTGATTCCGAGAGGCCGCACAACTGATGTCTTGAAAGCTTGCGTAGTCTTTTGTAAATGAGAACCTTTTCTAAGTGCACACAGGGATACTGTTATTTAAGGAAATCTGAGATGGATCCTTATTTCCCTTGGTCCCCCAGTGTGGCTCATCAGGCATTTTAAGAAGGCCACCTTGCCGGGTATAGGGTGCACTCCTATGTGCAGCTCTCTGGGAGGCTGAAGTAGGACAGTGGTGAGTTCAAAGCACAGCATAGGCCATTTAGTGACTAAGAAAGACCCTGTCTCAAAATAAATGAGAGATGGGGATACAGCTCAGTGTGAAGGCCCTGAGTTTAATCCTCAGTACTGAAAAAAAAGGCATCATGGTTTAGGAAGGAGCACAGACGTCTGGGGCGGCTGACTGGGTTCAAATCCAGGTGGATATCTGCTCTCCGTGACCTTAGACAAGCAGGCCACTCTGGGCCTGGGCGTCCTCCTGTGACGTGGGTGCCCAAGGACACCCGACGTTGAACAGATGTGGGGAAAGGAGAAGCAGTGAGAGCCCCCGGATGGGGCAGCAGCTTGGTGTCCGTGTGCCTCACCTCGGTTTCCCTTTATGAGTGGGATGCGGGTGTGCTCCAACCTCGCCTCCCGCTGCTTGAGGACAAGATGAGGGCAGCAGCACCGGGACAGGAGGAGCAGCCTGGGTCCCTGAAACTGCGTGGTCCTGGCGGCTTCACTTCCTCAACACAGCAGGCAGAGTCCTCCTGTCCACACGCACGCCACTTTCCCCAGGGCATAGCCCGGTGGCTGTCCTCAAAGTCACATCTGGCTGGAGCCTCACAGCCCAACTCTCCAGTGCTCTGGAGCTGGCAGGGGCTGGGGTGCTAAGGGGAAACAGGTTTGGGGTCCCCAGTCCCCTGCTCCCCATGCAGGGGCTGTCCTGCCTCCAGCTGGACACTGTGACCTCGGGGCGAGCACATCCCCGGTGGCCCTAGCCCCACAGGGAGCTGTGCAGGCTCTAAAGTGAGACCTAGGGTTTGAATACCATTCCCACCACTCACTGGGCCCTGGTTTCTCCCCTCAAAGCAGGAATGGTAACAGGATTGGCCAGCATGACCAGTAGGGTGGTAACAGTTCACTGAGGACACTGCCCGGGACATTCCTTGCCAACTTGTTGTCTTTTAACAAATCTCACTGCCTCCTGGAGTGGCAGCCCACGTCTCCACCGAAGAGAACACACACACACGCACACACAGGACAACACACTAAAAACATCAGCCATCATCCCATGAGGTCACTCATCAGTGTTTATGTTCCTCTAATCGTCTCCTAAGCGACTTTGTCCTTTCATTCCCATCAGAATCCGAGTAAGGTCCAGGCCCTGTGATGGGCTGACGGGGCCCACGCCATCTGTCACCAAAGGGGACTGGACGGTAAGTTCCAAGCCTGTGGACACGGCCTCTGTTACAGCTCCTTGAGCAGATGAATGTGGCTGTCGGTCCACAGAACTTGCATTTGTTCAAATATAGGCCAGATTTGGGCCCCAGGATTATCCTGTGATGTGCAGGCTTGGCCAGAGTCAGGTTTGATTGGGGAAGGAGACGCTACAGGCAGCATGGTGGGCTTCCATCTGGGGTGGGTTTGTTTCTCTCTCTCTCTCTCTCTCTTCCTCTCCCCCTTCCTCTTTCTCTCCCTCTCTCTCTTTACCATGTACATTCATTGCCAAAATCCACTGAATCACAAGAGCTGGCAAAACTGTGCTATTCTAACCCTAACACCCCTGCTTCACCTATTTAGCTGCCTTACATCTAGGGAGAGAAACTTGCCATCATTGGTTATCTGCTTATAGTTTGGGGAAAGTTTGTACCAGAAAGTCAAGATAATAAATGATCCCTTCATTTCTTTTCTTTGCCAGCTTTTAAAAACAATAAGTTGGGCTCCTTAGCACTATTCAAGGGTAATCGATGTATTTTAGAAAAGAACATTATGAACAAATAGATTTCAACGTAATTGAACTGTTTCTGAGCCACAGCAGTTACTGCTTTGAGTGGCCTCGAAGCTGCGCCCAGTTCTGCCTCGGCTTGTCCCAGGGCCTCAGAAGGCTCTGTGCTCATCCTTGCAATCCAGCATGAGGCCATGTTCCAGGTCATCCGCTTCCATGTGTGCAACCAGACTTCTCCAACCAGCCCTGCTTCTCTCTAGTGGGAAGTAATATTTAGAGACCCCAATCTGAGAACTAAAGCTGCTGGAAGCTTCTGAAACTTTTCAATAAACACGATAAAAAAGTAGCCTTTCACATTGTAAAAGACTCCAGGAATACATGGGAAACTTAGGGAAGAGTCTCAGGCAGGCTCCTGCAGGGGCTGCCAGAAAGCCCCAAGGCACGCGGTCCCCAGTGTGCAAAGCTGCCCAAGGGCCATGGAAGAGGAGGGACAGAAACACCTGTGCGGTGGTCTGGCTCTGAGTGGAGGTTTGCAGGGTGCGGGCTGGGTGGGTGAAGGAGGAGGAAGTTGATAGGAATGTAGACTGCACGTCAAACTTTCCAGAAGTTCACCATAGCGGGAGAGAGAGGCTGTAACCGCAGAGAGGCTGGACCAAGAAAGGTTTACAATTTACATGGGACACGGGACTGTGCATGTGTCCAAGTTGCTGGCCGGCAGAAGGTGCAGTTTCAGAAGGCAGAGATGCATCAGGGCTGCAGGAGCCAGCATCCTTTCGAAAAGTCAGGCGGCAGCTGGGGTAGACATGGAGGAAGGATGTTTCTGATCTAGTCTGTGTATCCAAGAGAGGGCTGGATCTCATTTATCCTCTTCTTCCCAGTCGTGGACAGTGCCTGATATGTGGGACCCAGGGACACTGGTGAACGTGACCAGAAAACAGTAGTTCTAGAAATGGGGTGTGACCCCTTCGGGGGTCCACGAGCTCAAGGCCACCTTCATGATAACAGGACAAGTGCAGCCTGATGGACTAAACGCAGGAGCAGCTAGGAACATCCAGAGGTCTTCTACAAAACCAGACATTTAAAGAGATTTGCAGGCATACAAAACAATGCTACTGCTTTTGGTACTTTCAGTTGAAAACAATTTTCATTAGTGTGCTAGTGGTACTGCTGGGTGATATGTTCACTAGTGTTATTGCATGTTACATTGTGCAGCCTAACTGTATGTTAATAGGTGCTGCTAACATTGCTCAGTCTGAGTTCCTACTTAGTAGATAGGGATGGATATGATCCACATAAACAAGAGTTCAAGGCCCTCAATAATTTTTTAATGCAAAGGGGTCCCAAGGCCAGAAAGTTTGAGAACTGCTGGTGTGAAAGGAACTCAGAGCTGGCAGGAAGAGCCAGCCATCACCACACACTGATGTGACCCCTTCGGCCCACAGCCCTAGACTCTCACAAGAGGACACCTGCCTCACCTTCCACCATCAGGGACCAGCCCGGAGACTGCAGGGGCTGATCAAGATAAATGGAGAAGGCTTGCGTTTTTACAAATTTTTTATAGCAAAAGACACACTGCCATTCATTACCCTCAAAATCCTCCCCCTTGCTTCAAACGTATTTATCCCACCACCCTGACCACTTTCTGCAGCAGCTCTGGAGGCCTCTTTCCTGAGGGTCTTTACAAAGTGTGATCAGAAACACGGCAAATGCTGTTGCCCAACACCACCCAACAGAAAGGCAGTAGCACAGCCACCTTATCCATCAGATCTGGCCCTGTGTGACTTCTGGCTCTTCGCCAAAGTCAAACGACCATGACAGGGAAACATTCTGAATCCTTTCAGGACATGGAGGCAGCCAGGAGAGCACAGATACAGACTCTCAGGAAAGAGGGCCCCAGAGCTGCTGCAGGAAGGGGCAAGGACGTGGGGAGCACGTTGAGGGGATCAATGGTAATGTGTCTTTCACTGTAATACATTTAAAAAATCGAAGCACTCACTCTACCTTGTCAGTCACACACACTCAGGTGTTCTTTCCAAGGAGCGAGGCCTTCTAAGACCGCAGGCTTCTGCTATCCACAGTGGGCCAAGCGACTACAGCTGACAATGCAGGTGCTTTCAGGGGCTGCGAGGAGGAAGAGGAGGAAGAGGAGGAGGGCAGAGGAGAGGAAAGGGAAGGAAGAGGGCCAGGAGGAAGAGGATGCACCTCCCTCTCCCTGGCCCCCTCCTCTGTACCACGGAAGGGACCCTTCCTTGGGGAAGTGCTTCACGGCTGAACCACAGTAGACCAAGCTGAGAGCCCTCCCAAACAGTTCATTCGGAACACCTGTCTGCAGAAACCAGTTTCCCAAAGGCAATATCACGGTCCTGATGGGGATCAAGAACTCTAAAACCATTCCTAAGGACAAGAAGGGGACAGGCACCTTGCGCTGTGACTTCCGCTCACACTGCTTACCCACGAGGTAACTCGGACACTCCACCGAACTTGGTCAAACCGCATGTGCACCTCCTTTCCGAAGTCTTTATGCACGTTTACCTGAAAACCTTACCCATCCTCTTCGATGAAAAGCTCGGAAATGCTCACACCACATGGAATCTGGAATGGCACGTGCGAACTTTAATGAGACTGGCGTTTTTACAAATTTCCCTTGTGGCTTTTAACTATTAGAGAGAGCAAACGTCTTTAAAATGGAACACATACGTCACGTGACCCGTATGTCCATGTCACTGATGAATTCCGTGTACTTTTGCAAGGTCTATGTTCTCCTGAGAGCTGTCTGAATGTCTCCTGAACCCCTCAAGACTGGACACCAGAGAGTATAAATAATCATTTCTTTAAAATTGCACTTCCTTTACAACCGTGAACAGGTTATGTGAGTATATGAAGGCAATGGCTCTGGAACAGCCATGCAGATTTATGAAGGGTATCAATTTGGGTTGCACTACAAGACCCAACAGCTCGGGGGGTTTTTACTGAAAAGTCTTGCGGAAATCAATACAGCGGATTGATCTCTGACCCAAGGGTCTCCCGGGGGTTTCCTGCAGGGCAAGATGCCAGGCTAAAGTTGGGCAGGAGAGAACAAAGGTCAATTTTTGAGAAATCGCTGGAAGTTACATGGAGAAAGGAAACTTGGCTTTCACCTCCTCGCTGTTTGAGGATGGGCTGTTAGAAAAGAAAAGAAAAAGCCGCCAACATAATTCAGCTGGAGGAGACAGCAGGATCTTCAGTGGAAATCGATGACTGTAGCTTGTGTAATCGTCCCTGCCACACACAGCCCGCGGTACCTAAATAAAATATCACTCACTGCTCGCATTACCGAGCGCGGTCTGCGGGCTTGGGTCCTTGGTACGCAGCTATCGACTGGGCTAATCCGGGACCGGGACCGGGGAAGCAGGGGTGCGTGTGGAGGGCAGCGGAGTCCCTGGGGCGCCCAGATCTTGCCCCACACCACAGTTTACTAAGTGGACTGAGGCGAAGGGAACGGGCAGCCTGGGCAGGAGGGTGTGGGTCTCAGAAGAGGTCCACCGTGGGGCGCCACCTCCACTGGGGAGAAGCCCCCGCCGGGGAGGCCAAGCCCCGCC